GAGTTTGGGGATATAAATTGGTTGGAGGCTAAGAAAATAATAATCATGACTCTATTTTCCGGGCTTATTTACTCCTCACCATCACCTGTAAGGTTTATCATTATTTGCATTCTGCTGGTGAGCAAATGTCAGCCCCAGAAGGCTATGTGATATGCCCAAGGTTACTCGGTGGGTAGGTGCCCGGGACTTGACCTTCAGGCCCCTGCTCTTAATCTCAGCCCCATGCTGGCGTCTCATAGGGGAGCCAGGGGCTTGCAGTCAAAGGAAAAAGGGTGAATGCCCGGGGACAGTTACTTACAATTTAGGAGTCTCAAAGGAATCCTTCTATTGCTGTATGGGAACTGGCCAGATTTCCCTTTCCAGTCTGGGGAATTTTTTCAAATCACTGGATCGTGTCACAGAGAATAAAAGCAGCTGCTAGTCTGTACAGTTCTGGAGAGACACAGATGCATGTTTTGTGTTTCATCTCTTATGTTGCTGGACTCCATTCCGAACATGACCACTCCTAACGTTACAAGGGCTGCAAGAGGCAGTGGAGACTGTGGTTTGGGCCACAGATGTGGCAGCCGATGTGTGTGGGTGTGTGACTCCGCTCAGCCTCCTCGCTTGTAAGATGGGAATGATAGTAGTACCTTCCTGTTATTGCAGACGGCACCTGATCCAACGGAAGTGGTACCTTAGTTATATTATTATTATTATATAACAGAGTTATTTCTTTGAAGTCAGTGCACAGGTATCCCCCACTTCTCAAAAGTCCTCATTACACCACTTTCCTTTTACAAAAGACCTACATTAGTCTTTGTTTTCAACTGAAAGAAATCCAAAGAGGATTTTAGCTTTTACAAGGAAAGACCAAGAGTGCCAACAGTGTTCAGCGAGCCCTTATAGAGGCAGCACGTACCCTGCACAGTGAGGGCACCGCCCCTCCCCAAGCTCCTACCCAGGAAGGACACACAGCCTCTCAGCATCAAGCCGCCCAAGCTGCAAACTGTGTAAGCACCTGCTTTATCTCGGTTTATTTTGTCCATCCGCTAGCAAGGTGTGTCCTCAGGTACCAGAAAAGCTTGGCAGAGGTTATTTTTCGGCTCTGGAAATACTCAAAATTTTTTCCACATAAATTAATGGTAATCTTTTCTTTGATTTACACCCTCTTGGCTTAGGAAGGTTTTTCATAGGAAGGACCACTCTACTTTTGGATAGCACGGAAAGCCTGTACTTTATATTAGTTATACTTCGGTTTCTCTGGACTTTAGGAGATAATCTAGTTTTGTCCGCAGCATATTTACAGAGTTTTATGTTGATGTTTGTAAGTTAAATTTAATCACCTGGCATTTTCCTATCTAAGTCTTCAGGTTCTAGGGTACATGCTCTTTGGGTGGGGTGACCATGTATGTCCTGGCTTAACACTTATTGTCCCAGGGGAATTGCTAGTAGTGTCCCCTTTCAATTCAAAAGCCTCCTGGTTTGGAAGATAAACCATATGGTCATCATTTTTGGAGAACTGCAAACACTCCTATCCCTGGCCACTGCTACATTATATGATCTGGATCAGGAGGACCAAAGCCTGGCATAGAATCAAGGGTAGTGGCTCTTATTTTTCACGCCAGGACCCCTTCATCCAGCTGCAGAAGCCTCTGAACCCCTTTCTAAGCATAATTGTTTTGTTTTAATTTAAATTTAATTAATTAACATATAGTGTATTATTAGTTTCAGAGGTAGAATTCAGTGATTCATCAGTTGCATATGACACCCAGTGCTCATTACATCACGTGTCCTTCCCAATGCCTATCACCCCGTTACCCCATTCCGCCACACCCCTCCCCTCCAGCAACCTTCAATTTGTTCCCTATGATTAAGAGTCTCTTATGGTTTGCCTCCCTCTCTGATTTCGTCTTGTTTTATTTTTCCCTCCCTTCCCCTATGATCTGTTTTGTTTCTTAAGTGTCACATGTGAGTGAGATCATATGATAATTGTCTTTCTCTGATTGACTTATTTCTAAGCATAGTTTTTTAATACAGAAAAAATGTACAGGATTACAGAGGAATTCCATAATTTTCAGAGAATGCTATCAAAACATGGGGAAAAATGAATTTGTGATGTCATAATATACATACTTTTTATTGGTGATTAAATAACAGATCTGTGACTGGTTTGATAAAGCAGTGATGAGCATAAATGATATTTTGAGATCTCTGTAACAATGGCAACATGATACAGAAACACCTATGATTTCTATTAGTGACAAAGTCACAGTATTTCTGCTTGTTTTCTGTATTCTGTTATAGAATACAATTCTTTCCCTGTCCAAGTTCACAGACCTCGTGATTCTGCTCAGGCCTCTTGTGGATCCCACTTTCAAAACCCCTGCACTAGGGAGAATGTTTGCTGCACCAAGAGGGAGGCAAATTGCACAAAGATCCAAAGAAAAGAAAAAGACTGTAATGATTGTAGGTTTGGGCACAAGAGGTGGAGAAGAAAAGGAATGTGAGAGGTTGCCAAGATGTGGATGGATGGAGTAAAAAGGCACGGCAGGTCTGTCACTGTCTCTATTGACAAGAGAGTATGGATGAGTATAGCGCATCCAGGATACAGCCTGCCAGGAACATGAATTTGCACAGTGGCTCGGAATGTGGACTCTGAAATCTGACACCCCTGGGGTCTCAACCCTAGCCCTGCCATTTGCTAGCATGTACTTTGCACGATCTTATAACTGACTCAGTTTCTCCTGTTTAGTGGGAGTAATAATTACCTAAAGCACAAAATTGCTTTGAGTATTAAACGAGATGACGTGTATAAAAAGCTCGGTGTGGTGTCTGGTATATTTTTATAAGCCCTCCACCAAGAGTTCTAGCAAGAGTATTGTGGTTATTACTGTCACTATGAAGACCCACTTCCCAGCAGTCAACTAGGGCTCCATGCAAGTCAGGAAAACACTGGGGTTGACTCCCATGTAGCCAGCAGGTGACAGCAAACACCATACTATAGGCTGAGGAGGAAAGGGCAGTCGTGTGTGGATGGAAACTTCCTTCTGCTTCCACAGAATGAACTCCACAGGGGCTCCTGGGTGGCTCAGATGGTTAAGCGTCTGCCTTCGGCTCAGGTCATGATCCCAGGGTCATGGGATCGAGCCCCACATAGGGGCTCCTGGGTCAGCAAGGAGCCTGCTCTCCCTCTGCCTCTCCCCCTGCTCATGCTTTCTCTCTATCTCTGTGTCTCAAATGAATAAATAAAATCTTTAAAAAAAAAAAAAAAAGAATGAACTCCACAAGCTAGGTTCCTTCGGCCTCCAGTGCCAAAAAGGCTGTCCAGTCCCTATTCTAGACACCGAGACGATGTCAGGAATGTTCTGGGGAGGCCAGGACCAGGGCCAGAGACCAGTTCTTTGTATATACCCAATCCTAGCCAAGCAGTGATTAGAGAGAGCCATACATTCAGGTCCTGGGAATAATTCTGCATACAGTTTGGGGCCTCTCAGTCTAGTCTCACTCCCCCCTTTAAACTTGTCTTGTTATCTACCTATTCACCTGCTCTCTGGGTGGTCCCAGGAGCCAACAGTGTTCATTCACACTGGCTGCGCCCAACTGAGGAATATCCAACGTAGGACATCCTGTTCTGTCCTCTCTTCTTCCACGACGAGCTAATAATTGCCTTATGCTGTCCGGTACTGAATAATCTGGAAGGCTTTTGAACTAGTTACCTGTGCACATATAGAGAGAAATCGTCCCTATGTTATAAAGGCAGGGAGTTAGCAAGTTGTTGGTGTCACAGTCATATCACCCGATCCCTCTGCGACCCTCCTCTGGGACATCCCAGTAACACAGTAGGATGGCAGGAACACGGCACGAGACAGGCAAGTTGGACAAGCGTTCGTTAAACTGTTGCTAAGGGGAAGTGCTTCCTCCAAGTGACTGATTAACCTAGGAATTATTCATGGATCTGTACCTCGAGGATGGAGTGATCTTTTCTGTGCCCCTTAGCCACGGAACTGAACTTGGAACTCAAGTCTCCAAGAATACTTACTGAAAGGTACTAAAACTTGGGAAATGAGCAGAGACGGAGACTCCCCCAAGAGATCCAACTTGATTCTCCATTGAATGACTTTAATTTTTCTGCAACTTTTCTTTTTAAGGACCGGAACCTTTTCCACAAATGAAATCTTACACAGTTCCAAAACACAAAGCAGATAAAAAAGAATTTGCTCTGGTTGAGGCAGGAAGGGGAAGGAGAGAGGCGACCTATGCCACCCTTCTTGACCCTCGGCCCTGACCCACAAATCCAGCCTTCCTCGAAAATGCAGTTTGAAACCCTTGGATGACAAACCAGTCTAGTCTTGAGTTCAGATGAGGCCACACATTGAGGGTTTGAGGTTTCCAAAATGATGTGTCCAGCCCAAGATGACACCAGTGTAGGTGACCTGTAGGAAAAGAACACTGGATAAACGTCCAAAGACATATGTTCCGATCCAGACTGTTCCACTAATCGGCTGGCCTTGGGCTTGGGCCCTCCTACACAATGAAACTGAAACCGTATGACCTCGGAGAGCTCTTCCCGAGCCAATGTTCCTGTCCACATTGGCTGATATATGGTGCCTGGGAGGGAAGCCTACACAACTCTCTCAGTGCCCAGGTCCAGGCTGGGAGCCTCGCTGCAGGCTCAGGTGGAAATGTACAGCAGGAAAGTGTTTTTAGGGGCGCCTGGGTGGCTCAGTCGTTGGGCGTCTGCCTTCGGCTCGGGTCGTGATCCCAGGGTCCTGGGATCGAGTCCCAAGTTGAGCTCCCAGCTCAGCGGGAAGCCTGCTTCTCCCTCTCCCTCTGCCTGCCACTTCCCCTGCTTGTGCTCTCTCCCTCTCTCAAATAAATAAATAAAATCTTTTTAAAAAGACAGTTCTGTTTTTAAACGAATAAACAAGCAAACAACCCTGTCTTTTATTTCGCTCAGTAACATGCAGTTGGGCACTCAGAGTTTTCTGTGTCCAAAGTTAAGATAGTCATAAAGAGATGCCTGGCTGGCTCAGTTGGTAGAGCGCATGACTCTTGATCTTGGGGTTGTGAGTTCGAGCCCCATGCTGGGTGTAGAGATGACTTAGATAAATAAAACTTAAAAAGAAAATAGTCATAAAAATTAGTTTCAGTGTGACTGAGTAGGAATCCTGGCCCCAGAATGAGAAGACGGAACCATGCACTAACCGTGAGATATTTGGCATAGCAATGAACTTTTCTTGATTTAAGTTCATCATCTATAAAATGAGAATCATGACACATGGGTCTCATGGGGGTGTTGCAAGGATCCAATGAGATTATCATTCGTATTTTTCAGCATTTATGTTTTCTTATGAAATATATATACAAAAAATGTGTAGAATCTCTGCACCCCATTTAAATTAAGGACTAAAATAAAACAAACGTGCATATTCCCAGAGCCCAGGGTAAGAAAAATAAGTAGTAACTTAGAAATTTTTTCATGTCCCTTCCTGATGTCGAACTTCACCCAACTTTTTTTTTTGGGGGGTGTGTGTGTGTGTGTGTGTGTGTGTGTGTGTGTGTGTGTGGTAACTTCTTTCTGCGTCTTCCAGGGTCTCTCTGTTTCTCCAGCTTACTGAGATTTCATGGACAGGTCACATTGTATAAAATTAAGCTGACAGTGTGATGATTTGATGCAGGTATATATTGGGAAATGTTTACCACAATAAGGTTCGTTAACACATAATTACTATTTTGCAGTTGTTACAGTGAGAACAATAAAGCCCTATTTTCATAGCAACATTCAAGAACACAATACAATATTGTTAACTAAAGTCACCATGCTGAACATGAGATGCCCGGAACTTATTCATCTTCTAACTGGAAGTTTGTGTCCTTTGACCAACATCTCCCTATTTCTCCCATCTCAGCTCCTGACAACCACCACTCTGATCTCTGTTTCTATGAGTTCGATGTGCTTAGTGGCCACATATAGGTGAGATTATATAGTATTTGTTTTCTCTGACTTATCTCACTTAGCCTCATGTCTCAAGGTCCGTCCAAATTGTTGCAAATGGCAGGATTTTCTTCTTTCTCATGGCTGAATAATTCCATTATGTATATACCACATCTTCTTTATCCATTTATGCATTAGGACACCTATGTTGTTCCGTGTCTCAGCTATTGTGAATAACACTGCTACGAACCTGGGGATGGAGGTATCTCTTCGAGATAGTGATTTCATCTCCTTTAGATATATACCCAAAAGTAGGATTGCTAGACCATATAGTAGTTCTACTTTTAATTTTCTGAGGAACGTTTATACTGTTTTCCACAATGGCTGCACCAATTTGCATTCTCATCAACAGCACACGAGGGTTCCCCTTTCTCCACACCCTCATCAACACATCATTTCTTGTCTTTTTTATAATAACCATTCCAATAGATATGAGCAGATATCTCATTGTGATTTTTAAAAATTAATGAATTTCATAGAGAGAGATTGAATGTGTGTGTGAGCGGAAGAGCAGAGGGACAGAGAGAATCCTTGAGCAGGCTCCTGGCTGAGCGCAGAGCCCTACACGGGGCTCGACCCTGAGATCATGACCTGAGTCAAAACGAAGAGTCGGACACTTAACTGACTGAACCACCCAGGTGCCCCTGTATTAGTAGACTATTACCGTATGCATTTCTCTGTGACTAACTTTTCTTGCCTCGGTATTCTGTTGTTGAGATTTATTCCTGTGAAAGCATATAGTGGTAGATCATACACCATGAGGATACGCCACGGTGGGTATAGAGATGGCTGTGGAGATGCCCTTTACCAAGTTAAAGAAGTTTTCTTCTCTTGTGAGTCTACCAAAAGATTTTATCATTAAACGATTTTAATGTATCAAACATTTTTTATTTGAATACATATGCCTTTAACTTATTAATATGGTAGAGGACGTTAATGATTTTCTAATATAAAATCAACACGGCATTCCTGTGATAAAATTGCATTGATCATTTCATACATTATTGGATGTGACTAAAAGTCTATTTTGTTTAGGATTTGTACATATCTGTTTTTCAGTGAGATTAGTCTGTAATTTTCCTTTCTTGAACTGTCCTAGTAATTTGAGTATCAAATTTGTGCTGGCTGCATAAAATGATTTTGAAAGTATTCCCTCTTGTTCTGCTTTCTGGAGCAACTTGTGTCGGATTGGCATTGTCTGTACCTAAGAATGTTATGATACATCACAACACCTCTGTAAAGCCATCTTTATCTGGCATTTTCTTTGTGGAAACACTTTTAACAGTTACTCTACTTCTTCAGTGATTTTCAGACTCCATAAATTATAAGCCTCCTAAGTATTGCTTTAGTTGCATCCCAAAATTTTGATATGTCTTATTTTTACCATTCCACGTGTGTTTTCTACTTTATATTAAGAGGCAGCCTAACAGAACCAGAATACAGAGTCTGGGCCAGACTGCCCCCAATGCAGACCCAGTGCTACCATTTTCCAGTTGCCCAACCTTGAGCGCGTTGTCCATTCTCTGCGTGTCCCTTGTTTCTTCGTCTGCCTATGAAATGATAATAGGACCAGCCTCAAAGGGTTGATTGGGGGGTTAGAAAATATATAAAACTCATAAAATATTACATGGCACATAATTCATTAGTAAATGCCATATGGAGTGTTTGCTATTATTTTTTCTTCTTTAACCCTTGAGTTGTGTGTGTCTGTTTTCAAATTTCCAGCTGTGAATATGGGGATGGGCAGTTCCTAACGTTCATGGTTTTTGCTAATATTTTATATTTTTATTAAATTGTGGCCAGACAGTATGATCCATATGATATCAATTTGTTGAAATTTGTTGAGGCCAGCACTTGGGCCTAGCATATTCCTGATTTTCATAAATGTTCCACATGTGCTTAGAAATACGTGTTCTCCAAGAGCAGGGTTAGTGACCATGTCATTCAAATCTGTACCCTTACTAGTTATTTTGTTTGCTTGATCTAAGAGAGATGTGAGCATTTTTAAAGCAAGTGAGTAAACAAGGCTTGTTATATTTTGTTTAAAAAAGCAGCTCTGAGCGTTCTATAAAGTTTTTTCTTAATAGACATTTTATTTTTGAATAGTTTTACAGAAAAATTTTGAAGATAGTACAGACTTCCCATATACTCCACACCTAGTTTCCCATTATTAACAGATTACATTAGTATCTTTAGTATAATGGATTACATTTGGCATAATTAGTGAACCAATATTGATAAATTTTTCTTAGCTGAAGTCCAGACTTTATTCTGACTTCCTTATTACCTAAATGTCCTCTTTCCTGTCCCAGGATCCCATACAATTTGTCATTGTGTCTCCTTAAGCTCCCCTTGGTTGTGGTAGCTTCTCAGACTTTTCATGGTTTTTATGACCTTAACGGTTTTGAGGGGTATTGGTATTGGTCAGATATTTTGTAAAACATCCCTCAAAAACAATTTGTCTCATGTTTTCTCCTGATTAGACTGGGGTTATGGGCTTGGGGGAGGAAGACCGTGGAGGCAAAGGGCCATTCTCATGACATCATGTCAAGAGCACATATTATGAATATGACCTATGACTGCTGATGTTAACCTTGATCCCCTGGTGATAAGGCTGTACACGTGTGCAAGTTACTATAATTTTTATTAAATGGAATATCATGATGTAATGCAATAGACTAGATCTAGACACCTGGATTCTAGGTCCATTTCTGTTACTAAATTGCTCTGTGAGTTTTGGCTGGTCACTTGACCTCTCTGATCCCCAGGGTTTTCTGTTGTAAAACCAAAATGTTGCCCTGGCTGGGCATGACAATCAGAACATATATTCTTTTGAAATATTGGTTGCATGTTTATAATTACTTCTGAAAGGCTTTCTAAACATATGCCGTTCTAAATTTGCAAATTGTGGTCGCCAGCCTCCAAGATGTACCCAGTGGATAGGGCTGATCTTTTGTGGAAATGATGGTGGTGTATGGCTTCTGAGGTTAAATAATGAAAGACAATATGGCTTCCACTTTGTGTTCGCTTGGATCACTCATCAGGCAGAGTCAGCCACCATGTCACGAACACTCCAGCAGCCTTGTGGAAAGGTACGTGGGGTGAGAACTGGGGTCTCCTGCCAATAGCAAGTACTGTCTTGCCAGTGATGGAATGCTCCACCCTGGAATCAGATCCTCTAGGTCCAGCCAAGCCTCCAGATGATGCCATCCCAGCCACCATATTTGCTGCCACCTCATGAGAGACTCCCATCCACAACCTGCTAAGCCACTCTGGAATTCTTGAATTCCAACAACTATGTGGAAAAAAAATCTTTATCGCTCTTAAAAACAAACAACAAAGGGTTGGATCCCAAGGCTTTGCGATGATGTTCAGGCCCTCATGGTTATGGGGTTGTGCGTGAGGGTGTTGACTGGCTTGGTTCCCAGACTCCTCTCCCACTTAAACCACAGCAGCTTGGCCTTCTGATTTATATATCAAGGATCCATGTAGGATTCTTTCAAAGAAAGAAGTAGAATTAGATGACCTCCAACGCTCAATGATTTCATCTATCAGTACAAAAAAAATACTTCTTACAAACACACACGCATTTTCTTTTTTTTTTTCTTTTTTGCGGGGGTAGAGGAGCAGGAGGAGAGAGAGAACCTTAAGCAGGCCCCACTCTCAGCACAAGCTGAATGCAGGGCTCAATCTCACAGCCCTGAGATCATGACCTGAGCCAAAATCAAGAGTCAGAAGCTTAACTGACTGAGCCACCCCGGCAGCATTTTCTTCAGGGCCTGCTCTCCTTGAAGGATGCACGGTCCCTGAGATGGGAAACAAGAGCACAGAGTGTGCTTCTCACTGAGGAGTGTATCGGACGCTGCCCTTTCTGGGTGTGAGGCGGCCAGAACCAAGCCTGTGAGAAAGCGCTGCTGGGCAGAGCTCCATCCCCTGGGCACCAGCTGCAGGCTGTGAGGGAGAGGAAGCGTTTGCCCCTGTTGCCAACATTCCGTTGGAAGACTAAGGGCAAGCAGGTACCGAGGGCCGTGGGCAAGGCCCAGGATAGGGGTTTTCCATTCCATATACCTCATTTAACCCCCGTGACCGTTAGGAG